AACCATGCTTGTCAGCTTGAAAAGTCTCAAACATCATATGAGCCATGCTTGTCAGCTTGAAAGGTCTCACAAAATCATGAGCCATGCTTGTCAGCTTGAAAGGTCTCACAACATCATCATGAGCCATGCTTGTCAGCTTGAAAAGTCTAACAACATCTTTATGAGCCATGCTTGTCAGCTTAAAAGGTCTCACAACATCATCATGAGCCATGCTTGTCAGCTTGAAAAGTCTCACAACATCATCATGAACCATGCTTGTCAGCTTGAAAAGTCTCAAACATCATCATGAGCCATGCTTGTCAGCTTGAAAGGTCTCACAACATCATGAGCAATGCTTGTCAGCTTGAAAGGTCTCACAACATCATGAGCCATGCTTGTCAGCTTGAAAGGTCTCACAACATCATCATGAGCCCTCCCCCCAGATGCCATTACCTTGTAGTGGTGGGGGAGCTTGAGAGCCTCAATGATCTAATGAGCTATGCCGGCGGGAACGTATGTTCCTGGTAGGGTCACCCAAGCCGGACAGGTCATTGGTGATGGGCCAGACTAAAGATGTCCTCCCGGTCCTCCAGGCTTGGGGGTTGGGTGCAGTGTTGACAGCTCTGCCCTGTAAAAAATCTACAATGTTACTGAAACTTCAAGAGGAAATAAGTGCTCTAAACATCCGAAGGTCTTGGGACAGAGCCCCTCTGTCAGCATGAACAACATGGGTGAAAGCCGAAAGGAAGTCCATGATGGGAAAACCAGTCTGCTGGATGTCAAAACCTAATTAAGAATTGGCTTCTGGAATGTTAGAACCATGTTTGAAACGGCCAAAACCGTAGTTAAAGAAATGCAGAACTATAAACTGGATATTCTTGGAATTAGTGAAAGCAGGTGGACAGGGTTTGGACAATCCACAACAGGTACAGGAGAAACCACAATATACTCAGGAAGAGATGATAACCTACATTCTGCAGGCGTGGCACTTATTTTAAAGAAAGGTATGCACAAACATCTCATCGAGTGGTATCCAATTAATGAAAGACTTATGACAGCACGATTCAATGGGAAACATGCCAAACTTACAATTATCCAATGCTACGCACCGACTAATGAAGCTGAGGATGAAGATAAAGAAGCATTCTTTAGGAGACTGCAAGAGGTAGTAGATAAAGTACCAGCCCATGATATTCTATGCATTATGGGTGATCTCAATGCAAAAGTTAGTAACAACAACTTGAATAGAGAACTATCAATAGGAAATCAAGGATGTAGTACAATTAATGACAACAGGGAAAGACTGAGCGACTTCTGCACGGCGAATAGACTTGTTATAGGAGGAGCACTGTTTCCTCACAAGAATATACACAAGCTTTCATGGATATCCCCAAATGGAAGAGATGTAAACCAGATCGACCATTTCATGGTAAACAGAAAATGGCGTGAGTCCGTACTGGATGTGCGTGTCAAAAGGGGAGCAGACGTAGGAAGTGATCATCACCTTGTAGTTGCTCTACTACGACTTAAACTCAAAAACGTTTACACGCAAGTTAAGACACAGACAGCACGTTACAATGTTAATCTTTTAAGAGAAAAAGACATTGCCACTAAATTTATAGTAGAACTCAAGAATAGATTTCAAACTTTATCAAATGACCCAGACACTCAAACTGCAATCAGCATTCAAGACAGATGGAACCAGATCAAAGAAACATACAAATCAACTAGCAACAACATATTAGGAACCAGGAAACAACACCACAAAGAATGGATAAGCAGTCAAACCATGGACTATATTGCCAAGCGAAAAAGAATAAAGAGCCTCATAAATCACACTAAATCAGAACACCAGAAAAACAAACTAATGTTAGAATATAGCGAACTAAATACAATGACAAAGAAAAGTGCAGAGCTGACAAAAAAAGATTTACGGAAAATCTAGCAGAAACAGCAGAAAATGCTGCCAAAGCATATGATCTACAAACCCTACACAAAGTAACCCAGCAAATTTGCGGAAGCAGTAACAATTATCACAGCATACCCATCTGAGATAACCAAGGCAGACTGATCACCACAGAACAAAAACAAGACATGCAGAGGACTAAACACTTCTCCGACCTCTTGAACAGACCTGATCCTGCAAATCCCCCAGATATTCCCTTAAAGCTATCCACACTTTAAAGAACAACAAAGCACCAGGCAAAGACGAACTGCCAGCAGAACTTATCAAAGTAGATCCCAACACAACTGCTAGCATTCTAGAACCATTGTTCAAGGATATTTGGGAAAAAGAAGTGTTGCCTGATGACTGGACCGAAGGAACAATAGTCCAAATCCCCAAAAAAAGGAGACTTAACAGACTGCAATAATTGGAGGGGAATTTACTCTCAGTACCAAGCAAAATATTTGGTAAAATCATCAAAATGAGGCTTGAAAAGGGAGTAGATAAATGCCTACGAGTGGAACAAGCAGGATTCAGAAAGGGCAGAGGAACAACTGAACATATTTTCGCCATAGGCAACATTTTAGAACAATGCAATGAATGGCAGAGAAGTATATATTTTAATTTTGTGGACTTTGAGAAAGCTTTTGAAAGCGTCCATAGAGACGGTCTGTGGAAACTTTTACGACATTATGGAATTCCAGAAAAAATAGTCATCATAATTGCTCTCTTCTATAAAGACTTTTCCTGCAGTATAAAAAATTACAATACATCTTTCCCAGTAAAGACGGGTGTAAGACAGGGATGTGTTATGTCATCTCTCCTCTTCAACCTTGTGATTGATTGGATACTAAAGAACACAGTAGACAGAACATTGAGAGGCATACAATGGACTCCATTCACCATGCTTGAGGACCTTGATTTTGCAGATGATATAGCACTCCTATCACATAAACTTGAACATATACAAGAAAAAAGTAACAGACTACACAGCACAGCAGAAATGGTGGGACTGAGAACAAATACAAAGAAAACTAAGATCATGACAAGCAGTCCAAACCAACAACCAGTGACCATAAATAACCAAACTCTTGAAAATGTAGAACATTTCACATATCTTGGCAGTGTGGTGTCCCTGCCGGAAGGGACCGAAGAGGACATACAGTCATGTCTAAACAAAGCTAGAGCTGCTTTTGGAAGGATGAGGCAAATCTGGAAATCCAACAATTACTGCAGAGGAACAAAACTCCGACTCTACAAGAGCATCATTATGCCAGTTCTTCTTTATGGAGCGGAATGCCAGAGAATGACCAAAAAGGATGCACACAAGCTGTCCACCTTCCACCACACATGTCTACGTAGAATTATCAAAATTTTCTGGCCAGATACAATCTCAAACACTAAACTATTTCAAATTACAAACCAAGAAACTTTAGACAATATGATAACCAAGAGAAGATGGAAATGGCTTGGCTACGTTATGAGAATGAATCCTGATATACCTGCCAAAACAGTTCTCACATGAACACCAGAGGGAAAGAGAAAACACGGGCGCCCAAAAACAACATGGAGAAGAACGATGGAAAGTGACCTGAGTGCGGCATCTTTGACATGGAAAACTGCACTAAAGATTGCACTGGACAGGAAAGCATGGAAAGTCCTCTCTGAAGCCTCATGTGCCACTAGGCACAATGAGAACTGATGATGATCATCATGAGCCATGCTTGTCAGCTTGAAAGGTCTCACAACATCATCATGAAACATGCTTGTCAGCTTGAAAGGTCTCACAACATCATCATGAAACATGCTTGTCAGCTTGAAAGGTCTCACAACATCAGTGTGAGCCATGCTTGTCAGCTTGAAAGGTCTCACAACATCGCCATGCTTGTCAGCTTGAAAGGTCTCACAACATCATGAGCCATGCTTGGCAGCTTGAAAGGTCTCACATCATCATCATGAGCCGTGCTTGTTAGCTTAAATGGTCTCACAACATCATCCTGAAAACTGGTTATTAGCTTGAAAGGTCTCACAACATCATTATGAGCCATGCTTATCAGCTTGAAAGGTCTCACAACATTATAATGAAACATGCTTGTCAGCCTGAAGTCTCACAACATCAGTGTGAGCCGTGCTTGTCAGCTTGAAAGGTCTCACAACATCGCCATGCTTATCAGCTTGAAAGGTCTCACAACATCATTATGAGCCATGCTTGTCAGCTTGAAAAATCTCACATCATCATGAGCCATGCTTTTCAACCTGAAAGGTTTCACAACATCACTGTGAGCCATGCATTTCAGCTTGAAAGGTCTCACAACATCACCTAGGTCATGCTTGTCAGCGGGAAAGGAGGTCTAACAACATCACCAGGAGCTGTGCTTGTTAGCTTGATAGGTCTCACATCCACATCACCACAAGACATGCTTGTCAGCTTGAAAAAACTCACAACATCCCCATGAGAAATGCTTGTCAGCTTGAAATGTCTCACAATATCCCCATTGTCGCTCCAATTTGGGTTCTTATCTCAGTTATATCATGTGTAACGTAAGTAAAGGACCCTTTTCCCCACCCGTTAGCATTTGGTGCTAGGCCTATATTTTACTTGATGGGTGATATTTTCAACACTATGCCAGCTGCCTTTACTTCCCATGACTTTACCCTGTACGAATTTTAGGCTGGCTCAACCTGGAAGCAAATGTCTATAAAAAAAATACTGGCTCTATTAGGACCAGAACCCATGACTTACACAGGCGAGCACCTAGCCCCTACACCACGGCAGCTCCTCTATATCACATGACCAAATGTTTTGAAAAATAACAGAACAAGATAAGAAATAATAGGATAAAACAAAATGAGAAACTGTAACATAATTTAAAAGAGGACAAGAAATTGCAACATAAAATGAAAGCTATGAAGAGATGAGAAATTGCAACATAAGATATGACAAGACAATGCAACATAAGATAGGACAAGACAAGAAATGCAAAATAAGATACAAGAAGACTAGAAAATATGACAAGTACAAGACAAATTAAAACCTGATACGACAAATGTATGGCAGATATTTTCACCTGGCTACCCCCCTGTGAGATTCTGACTGTCTTGACTGATCCAGTCGAGGACTTGGTTGTAGACAGAGACGGGGACCTTGTCCTTGTTGAGTTATCCTGACTGGCACTGGTGGAAACCAGATTGTCCAGCTCAAACAGTGGTGCACCTGGCAGGGTTTAAAAAAAACAGCAGACACAGACATTTTCTAGATAGTTTGAAATTGCTAGCTACCACTGCTATTATTTCATGTTATTGTCTGATTTCTTAGGTAGTCTCGTAATCTGGTTATCTTAGATTCAGCTTCATAGCAAACGGGTCTCCCACAGTTGCTTCACTTCTGTGCCAATGAAAGCAACACAGAATGTCCATCACTGTTGTTGAAAAACTGAAACAATTCAGTCTCCACTAGCATACACATGCAACATTATAAGGCAGCTATCAGAAGTGCTAACATGAGATTAGGGCACTGATTGATCAGCATTCATGCCCATAAGACATCATCACTTACACAGATGGGTTCGTGAAGTGCGGATCAAGATCAGCATGGGCATTCACAGCACAAAGATAGGAAAAACAAGAGGATAGTGGTGCTTACCAGACAACAATATCAAGCATGACTATGGATATAACTGTTGCTTCCAGAGCACTAGCATAGGTAGCAGAACAAGTGGCCACACATTAGGTAATCATTTCAGACTCTATGAGCATGCTTCAGAAAATCTCTACAGGTAGTCTCTACTCCGAATTGGTAGAAAGCATTTGGAAGTCACAGTAACTTTCATAATCTGGAATCTTCACACCTGGGTATGCAGGAGTAAATGGCAATGAAAGAGCTGACCAGCTGGCAAGTAATGCACCAATGCAAATGGGAAAAAGCATAGATATCATCAACGCTGTATGAACTATGCTGGGGGACAATGGGGAATCTCTGATGCTAACATGACTGCGTGACTGAGGAGTTCAGCTTGGTGAAGCACAACTATGCTGTCTTCGAGGTAAAGACAGAAGATACTATAACTAAGTCCTCATAGGAACAGTCAGTAGAGGTACCTTGGAGTAGCTGCTGCTTCAGAGGACTGAGCACGCACGGGGATGCCAAATGTGCAAAGACATCGATTATGACAACATAATATGACACAAACAGTCCAACATTAGAAATGACTTTCATCATCGACGGAAGCAGCAAATACAGATCAGCAGTTGCACATGCGACCCATTTTAATCACATAAGGCAACACCATTTCTGTGACAACAGGCCACTCGCCATTTTCTGAATCTAAGTCTGTACACAACCAGAAGTTGTCTGCTTAGTCCAATTCCTTCCTCTCTCTCTCTCTCTCTCTCTCTCTCTCTCTCTCTCTCTCTCTCTCTCTCTCTCTCTCTCTCTCTCTCTCTCTCTCTCTCTCTCTCTCTCTCTCTCTCTCTCTCTCTCTCTCTCTCTTATTCATGCACACAAAAAACAAGACTTGCTTTCTTAACAACCTCAAATGGATCAAATCTGTATTTCTGCTTTGTTTCTGAATACATTTTGTACATCTTCATATCTCTTTGCATTTTCTGCTCCTCTGTGTATTTGTTTCAGATGAATGCCTCACAGCCACAACATCACAACACAGGTTTAAATGCTCCATAGACACAATATCACAACACAGGTATGAATGCTTCACAGCCACAACATCACAGCACAGGTTTAAATGCTCCATAGACACAATGTCACAACAAAGGTATGAATGCTTCACAGCCACAACATCACAGCACAGGTTTAAATGCTCCATAGACACAATATCACAACACAGGTATGAAGTCCTCACAGCCACAACATCACAACACAGGTATGAAGGCTTCACAGCCACAACATCACAACACAGGTATGAAGGCCTCACAACCACAACATCACAACACAGGTATGAAGGCCTTACAACCACAACATCACAACACAGGTATGAAGACCTCACAGCCACAACATCACAACACAGGTATGAATGCTTCACAGCCACAACATCACAACACAGGTATGAAGGCCTCACAACCACAACATCACAACACAGGTATGAAGGCCTCACAACCACAACATCACAGCACAGGTATGAAGGCCTCACAACCACAATATCACAGCACAGGTATAAATGCTTCACAGCCATAACATCACAACACAGGTATGAAGGCCTTACAACCACAACATCACAACACAGGTATGAAGACCTCACAGCCACAACATCACAACACAGGTATGAAGGCCTCACAACCACAACATCACAACACAGGTATGAAGGCCTTACAACCACAACATCACAACACAGGTATGAAGACCTCACAGCCACAACATCACAACACAGGTATGAATGCTTCACAGCCATAACATCACAACACAGGTATAAATGCTTCACAACCACAACATCACAACACAGGTATAAATGCTTCACAGCACAACATCACAACACAGGTATGAATGCCTCACAACCACAACATCACAAAACAGGTATGAAGGCTTCACAGCCACAACATCACAACACAGGTATGAATGCTTCACAGCCACAACATCACAACATCTCAACACAGGTATGCATGATCATGTTCTCATGAGGTTCACACTGTCCATGCAGGATCATATTCTCATGATGTTCACACTATCCACATGTGATCAAGTTCTCATCATGTTTACACTCTCCACACTTGATCATGCTCTTGTGATGTTCATAAGGTCTATGCATGATCATGTTCTCATGAGGTTCACACTGTCCGTGCAGGATCATATTCTCATGATGTTCCTACTATCCACAAGTAATCATGTTCTCATGATGTTCACCTTATCCACATGTGTTCATGTTCTCGTGATGTTCCACTGTCCAAGTGTGATATTATATATTATCATGATGTTGGCATTATCCATGCATAATTATGTTATCATGATGTTCACGTTATCAATGTGTGATCGTCTTTTCATGATTTGTGCGTTGTTAATCCTTATTTTTTTTTAACAACATAAGCAAGGAGCATACAACTCTGTTCTTAGCATTTTGTTCACATTGAAGTCCCCTGCTCTTGCCAATAATCTTTCTTGTTATTCTATTGGTTCATCTCACTGATATGAACAGCAAGGATTACAAGAAAGGTAACTGACATGAACAGGCGGAACAACAAGAAAGGTATGGCAGCTAACTTTCTTGTTATTCTATTTGTTCATCTCAATTACCTTTTGCAAAGTTCATCTCACTGATATGAACAAAAAGATTGACAAAGAAAGGTAACTGAGATGAACAGACAGAATAACAAAAAAGATATAGCAGCTATCTTTCTTGTTATTCTATTAGTTCATCTTAGTCACCTTTCTTGTTATTCTTTTTGTTCATTTCCGTTACCTTTCTTTTTATTCTTTCTGTTCACCTCCATTACCCTACTTGTTATTCTTTCTGCTCTTGTCAATTACCTTTCTTGTTATTCTTCCTGTTCATCATGTCCTCTCGTTGTTTCACGCCTGCTGGTTCTAGGGATGACATGTTCCAGCTCAGCCAGATCCTTGGTGAAGGTCGGATCCCTGGAACAGACAATGGTTGTGTCAGTCAGGCAGACAAGCAAATAAATAAAGAGAGGGAAATTGACAGGAATATAAAGAGACTGAGACAGAGAGTAAGAAAGAAATCAGACGGCACTGGATGAAAAGTAAAATAACAGTCACAGAATGAGACATACTGATACAGAAACAGAGGAAAACAGTAAAGTAGATGTACAGAAAGCAAGACACAGCTGGAATCAAGTGATGCAGACTGAGGACAAAAAGAAATAAAGTAAGATACAGAATAGATCCCCTTAAAAAAAGGAGAAAAGAAGCCAGAGACAGAAATAAATGAGAGACAGACACAAAGAGGGGCTAAAGAGAGGTAAATATATTTTTAAAACATACTCACACACAAAAACCTCACACCCAAAAACACACACACATGTAAGCATGCACACACACAGATACAAATTCACACACACAGCCGTACCAAAGATTTAAAAAAGAAAAAAATTGGAAAATGGTGTTTGAAACAAGAATGATCAGCTCTGCTAATCTAGCACCAAAACTTCTATAAGTTACTTACGGTTGAGAGCTATAGAAAGAGAAAAAAAAATTACCTGCCATCCAGGCGTACACAAGGTTAACCAGGTCGTCCCGGAAATGTTCCCCAAATTGTCGGTATGAGTCTGGGAAGCAGTGGCAAAAACTGGAATATACAGCTTGAGACATCAGCTTGGGGTAGGCCTGAAAAAACAGCAAAACTGTTCCTCATCATCATCATAAACCACTTCTGCAAAAAGCTTCATGGGGAGGAATTATTTGCTATCCAGTGCATGCTGGCTGGCACTGACTATGGTCACGCCATAAAGGTGTAAACTGTCTTTAATGCTGTCGATCAATTATTATCATGGCCGTCCTCTTGGTCTTGTAGTTGATCTTGTGAGATGCAAAAACTGTGATGGTATTTGATGTCGCAGCATTCTAATAATATTGCCAAACCACTTGATCTGCTGTTTCTTAATGAATCTAGTAAAAGGTGTTGCTCCCACAATCTGTCTGATAGTTTCATTATTCACTTGTTCTTAAACGGTTTGGCTGGCAGCTTTTCTCAGGCATCTCATTTTCCAGGTGATGATATTGCCTAAATGGGCTTCAGAAAACCTGAATGACCCTAATATTTGTGTAGTTTAAGGGCTGAATTATCTCACCGTCTTACTGTTATTGTTTCATCACTGTGATCTTTTGTATAAAAATATAAAAGTTACATTTTTTTTTACTGTCAAATTCTTTTAATGAACAAAAAAAAGGTTGAGAACTGGACCTATAGGTCTGTTATTATTGTTAGGAAATGAAACAATCAGAATTTATTACTAGACTGCTTCAAGCATTTGTGATCCTTAGCTGAAGAATCAGGACACCTCCAGCCACAAGGTCTGCTGTTATGTTGGGCAGGTTCTGTTTTTTGTTTGTTTCATTTGGTAATAGATATTTCATTAACATTTTCAGTACAAGCAAATACATGATTTGTGATAAGCTCTCCCTCTGTAAGTCCCAGTCATTGCACAATGTTTCTGTTAAAATTGTATATTTAGTCAGAGCACACTAAAGAAATCTGGCTTTTCCAGTTTTCCACTGTGTATTAAGCCTGTTAGAAAAGTAGTGCAGTCATGAGTTTTGACAGTGTTATTCTCCCCTTTAGTAAGTAGTGCAGATACTTGTTGGTACTAAATAGATAATATTATCTCTACAAAATGTATCATCGCTCTGGATATTTCCAAGCTTTTAAAAAAGATATCTACAGTGAACTAGTTACAGCATGAAAAACTCTGATGCGGATGTGGACAGTAAGGAGAATCCCTCTCATTCACTGTCAAAGAGCATTCACACAGTGAGTGCCGGAGTGTGGTGGAGTGACATGTTACAACAATCAGATTGAAAATCTGATAAATGACCCTTTCTCAGGAATAGTTTAAGAAATTATATTTACTGGTACTCTCAGACATACTTTAAACACCATCAATACAATCCAATTTTCAATCTTTTAAAACTAAGGTTTGTTCATTCTACCTACCATTAGACACGCCCTAAAGACGACCCATCCATTATCAAACAACCCTTGAAGAAGATTTATTTATTATCAAACATACCTTAAAGAAGATCCATCTCCTTTCAAACATACATTTAAAAAGATCCATCTAGTATCGAACATATTTTAAAGAAGATTTATATATTATCAAACATACCTCAAACTCTCAAACAGACCTCAAAGACAAAACTAAAAGAAGATCCATCTGTTACCAGACATACTTTACAGAAGATCAATCTGTTATCAGATATACTTTACAGTAGATCCATCTGTTATCAGATTTATTTTACAGAAGATCCATCTGTTTTCAGACATACTTAACAGAAGATCCATCTGTTATCAGACATACTTTACACAAGATCCATCTGTTATCAGACATACTTTACAGAAGATCCATCTGTTCAGACATACTTAACAGAAGATCCATCTGTTATCAGACATACTTTACAGAAGATCCATCTGTTATCAGACATACTTTACAGAAGATCCATCTGTTATCAGACATACTTTACAGAAGATCCATCTGTTATCAGACATACTTTACAGAAGATCCATCTACCTTCAGACAAACTTTACAGAAGATCCATCTACCCTCAGACATACCTTGAAGAAGATATCCTTTGTTGCAATGTCTGAGGAGCTCATCAGAAGGTGGACATAATTGTGGGCCACACGATTGAACAGTTTCTGTTGCGTGGGTGTATCAGGCTGAAACTTTTGCAGAAATAGATACCAGAATATGTCCTATAGAAAGATGGAGATAAGCAGTACTTTAAACTTGGTATGCTTGCACATAATAAAACTAGTAAACATAAACAGCCAAAACTCTTATAATTTGTATGTTGAATATTTAATTAATATCAGAATACTAGAGAAAACTCAAAAAAAAAAAAAAAAAAACTCTAGCTAATAATACAAATATGTCATCTATTTTCTGCAACAAATGAATCTTAGAAAACTCAGCTATCCTCCGAATAACGGACACAAAAGATGGCGGCCGCAAAAACACCCTAACAGAGCCTTAGTCAATTGCGCACTTCCGGTGACTTAATTTGCGGTTTTCCGGCGACTACCGCCACCGCCGAGAGTATCCCCCACGCCGTTCACGTGGCATGGATTGGGGCTAAACTAGATGGCTTGGACTCACGAGCAGCAGCTTCCGCATCTCCTGCAGCTTTGCTCGTCAGCCCTAGCCATCTAGTTAAGCCCCAATCCACACCACGCGAGCGGGGTGGGGGATACTCTCGGCGGCGGCGGTAGTCGCCAGAAAACCGCAAATTAGGTCGCCGGAAGTGACTGAGGCCATGTTTTTGGCCGCTCATTGGCCGCCATCTTTTGTGCCCGTTATTCGGGGGATAGCCGAAAACTCAAATCTTTGTTTCAAATATCTATTTCTGGAACACTAAGAAAATGTACACATAAATACATGCATATATAATATAAAATGCATAAATGAATCAAACTGGTAAATATTGTACAGTTTTAAGACGAACATTGTTGAGACACAAAAGATGACTGGCTAAACAAGTAACATACCAGCAGAATGGCCTGTGACAGCCGAGAAACGAGAAGCTGTTCAATTTTTTGCTTGGAGCCCAGCTGCAATCAACAAACAAATCAATTCCCAAATGTTGCCACTTTTGTTTTTGTTCTTTAAAACTTATCTAAATCTCCCAGCTCCTTTTTCCTTCAATGAAACTAACAATTAAACATAAGCAAGATCAAATAAAAATGGTCAAAATGCAGAAACTTAGACAAAAACATCTAACAGCTTTCAGCTTCTTTCTTCTTCTTTTGCCTTTCTATCCCCCAATGGAGCATAGGCCCTCAACCAACTCACGCCAAGTCGTTCTATCCTTCGCCATTGCATGGAGCTCTCCCCATGTCCTCCCAATCTTTCTAACCTCATTCTCCAGCTCTCTTCTCCATGTGTTTTTTGGCCTTCCTTTATTCCTATGCCCCTGTGGGTTCCAATGCAAAGACATTCTAGTAATGCTGTTCTCCTGTTTTCTCAATGTGTGCCCTATCCAATGCCAGCGTCTTTTCCTCACTTCCTGATCCACTGGAGCCTGTTTAGTTCTCTCCCAAAGTTCTACATTAGTTATTCTATCATACCATTTTATTCCCTCTATTCTGCGCAGGCACCAGTTAATGAATGTCTGTAATTTATTAGTAATTGCCTTGGTTGTTCTCCATGTTTCCGCCCCATACAATAGTACTGATTTGACATTAGAATTAAAAATGTTTAGTTTAGTATTTCTTTTAATTTCTTTTGACCTCCACAAATTCCCTAGTGCTATGAAAGCCCCTCTTGCCTTTTGTATTCTCATTTTAATATCTCTATCAGTTCCTCCATCTTTATCTACATTACTGCCTAAATAGGTGTACAACTCCACGTCTTGGAGTGGGGTGCCATTAAGAGAAACCACATTACTATTGCCTGATTTATTCTCATTATCTTTGTCTTTCCTTTATGGATTTTCAGACCAAGCTGCTGTGATCTCGCATTAAGTATATTTAATTTATTTTGCATCTGATTCCGTGAAAGGGACAGAAGAGCAATATCATCAGCGAAGTCCAGATCATCAAGCTGTTTTGTAGGGGTCCACTGAATTCCATTCTTGGTGTTAGCAGTTACTGTTTTCATAGTCCAGTCTATCTTGTCTTGTCTTGTCCACAATTGCCTCACAGCGTAGTGGGGAGTCGCAGTTTTCTCCAGTCTATAGCCATTAAAAATAAGAGAGGCGACAAAAGACATCCCTGTCGCACACCTGTTTTTATTTCAAATGCATCTGTTAGCTTTTCCTCATGAAGAACTCGACATTTCATGTCTTTATATGTTGCCTTTACTAAGTTGATAATTTTCTGTGGGATTCCATAGTGCCCCATCAATTTCCAGAGAGATTCCCTATCTATGCTGTCAAATGCTTTTTCATAGTCTATAAATCCAATGTAAAGTGGTGAGTTCAGTTCAATGCTTTGCTCTATTATAATTCATAATGTGGCTATCTGATCAGTACAGGATCTGTTTGACCGAAAACCTGCCTGCTCATCTCTTAGCATTTTATCAATAGCATCTTTTAATCTTTCCAAAATAATTCTACTTAATATTTTTCCAGGAACTGACAGCAACATAATTCCTCTATAGTTTTCACACTCCTGTATATCACCTTTTTGGGGCAGTTTCACAAGATATCCTTCTCTCCAGTCTGCTGGTATTTCTTCGGTCTCCCAGACTTTACTGAATAATCTATGTAGCAATTCTGTTGATGTGTTTATGTTGGTCCTGAGGGCTTCAGCTGGGATACCATCTGGGCCTGTCGGCTTTCCTTCCTTGAGAAGATTTATAGCTTTTCTAATTTCCTCTTTGGAAGGTATCTCACAGTTGATATCCAGTTCCATTTATAAAGGCTGCATATCTGGGGGAACCTCTGGGCCTGGTCTATTTAGAAGCATTTCAAAATATTCAACCCATCCGTCCATTTGATCTTTAGTGTTAGTAAGTACCTTTCCTTGACTATTTTTGATTGATCCAGTTGGCTGACTATATTTACCTACTAATTTTCTTGTGTTACTGTAAAGTTCTCTGAGGTTTCCTTTTGCTGCTGCTGTTTCTGCTTCTTGTGCTAGATCATTTAGATATTTCACTTTATCTGCCCTTATATGCCTCCTAACTTCCTTGTTGGCTTCTGTGTATTTTTCCTGAGCTCTAGCTTTAGCAGCTCTAGTTTTGCTATTGTTTAATTCTGCCTTTTTACTTTTCCTATCTTCAATCAGTTCAATGGTTTCTGGTGTTATCCATGCTTTATGTTTCATTTCTTTCTTGCCAAGAACTTCTACGCAAGATTCATTCCAGATTTCTATGATCTGATCCCAGCAGACTTCTGTGTTGACATCTTCAGCTAACTGCTGCAACAAATGGTACTTATTAGAGACCGTAACTGAGAACTGTTCCTTAATTTCTTTATCTCTGAGAAAGCCTACATTATATTGGTTTCTATGATTATAAGATGTTATATATCTTTTTAGTTTCAACTTGATTTTACTTACCACCAGGAAATGGTCAGTAAATACATCGGCACCTCTGAAAGCCCTAACATCATAAAGGGATGATCTAAACTTTTTGTTAATGCATATGTGGTCAATTTGATTAGTTGTCTTATGGTCTGGTGATTCCCATGTTGCCTTGTGTATACTTTTATGGGGAAAAATACTTCCACCAATAACATACTGGTTACCTGCACAAAAATTTGTGAAAATTTCTCCATTTTCATTCATTACTCCTAGACCATGTCTCCCCATAATTTCTTCATAACCTGTGTTGTCTGATCCTATCTTAGCATTCAAGTCACCCATCAACATTTTTAAGTTGCCCTTTCTTTCATTATTTATAATATTTTGAAGCTGCATGTAAAATTCTTCCTTAACAGAAGCATCTTTATCATTTGTTGGTGCATAACACTATATTACTGACATGTTCACCTTCTGTTTTACTGTTCTAAAAAATGCTCTTATTATTCTGGGACTCACAGCTTCCCATCTTATTAGTGCCCTGTCTGCTTCTTTTGATAGCATCAGGGCCACTCCTTCACTGTGCGGCGAATTGTCCTCTGTGTGTCCTGTGAACAAAATAGTTTCTCCTGAATTTAGAATACTTTTCCCTGCCCCAGTCCATCTAGTTTCACATAACCCTAAAATACTAATTCTATAATGTTTCATTTCCTTTGCTACTTCCATTGTTCTCCCTATATCATAGAGAGTTCTAACATTCCAGGTGCCAATTCTGGAGGTTTTCCTAGCAGAGAGGAGGTACGTCAATGATCCGGACTTCTTACGGCTTTCTCCACACCGTGTCATACTTCTTCTATTTGAAGAGCCTCCCCTCATCTTGGTTGGCTGAATTTTATTTGCTTCTCTTTTTGACTTATCCATGATTGGTTGGTTTTTGTGGCTATGTTTTTTTACAGGATGAGGTAGCCAACCTCAAGCCCAACCCTACCCTTAGTCGCCTCTTAAGACATGCCTAGCTTTCAGCAGTAAAGAAAATCATATCATATAGTAGCTGGATAAGCAGTTTTGTCACGTAAAACATTAGTTTCATGTAAGACAGCATCATACATAGATTTACAGCCTGAGACCTTGTGAACAGTATCAGCTAGGGATTTACAGCCTGAGACCTTGTATACAGTATCAGATAGGGATTTACAGCATAAGACCTTGTGTACAGTATCAGATAGGGATTTACAGCATAAGACCTTGTGTACAGTATCAGATAGGGATTTACAGCATAAGACCTTGTGTACAGTATCAGATAGGGATTTACAGCATAAGACCTTGTGTACAGTATCAGATAGGGATTTACAGCCTGAGACCTTGTATACAGTATCAGATAGGGATTTACAGCATGAGACCTTGTGAACAGTATCAGATAGGGATTTACAGCCTGAGACATGGTGTACAGTATCAGATAGGGATTTACAGCATGAGACCTTGTGTACAGTATCAAATAGGGATTTACAGCCTGAGACTTTGTGTACAGTATCAGATAGGGATTTACAACCCGAGACCTTGTGTACAGTATCAGTTAGGGATTTACAACCCGAGACCTTGTGTACAGTATCAAATAGGGATTTACAACCCGAGACATTGTGTACAGTATCAGTTAGGGATTTACAACCCGAGACCTTGTGTACAGTATCAGATAGGGATTTACAGCCTAAGACATTGTGTACAGTATCAGTTAGGGATTTACAACCCGAGACCTTGTGTACAGTATCAGATAGGGATTTACAGCAACTGACTCTGGTTTCTTGTTTAATTAAGGTTTGATGATTTCAAACTTTAGATACAAATTTACATGACAGATGCAAATAGAATAGATCAAACTTTAGTTATGATGTTACAGGGATATCAGTACAACACATCAAACTTCAGGTATTATGTTACATGAATGTCAGTAAAAGAGATAAAACTTCAATTATAAAACCACAGGGAGGGTGTTAGTAGAAAACATCATACTTTGGCTACAATGTTACAGGATGGACATCAATGAATAGATGAAACTTTAGGTATCAAGTACAACAGATGAAAGTTTAGATATAAAGTTACAGGGAGGATGTCCATAAAACAGATAAAACCTTAGTTATAAAATTACAGGGAGGATGTCAATAGAACAGATACAACTTTAGTTATAAAGTTACAGGGAGGATGTAATTAGACCTACAGAAACTTTAGCTATTAAGTTACAGGGAGTATGTCATTAGAACCTAAAAAACTTCAAATATATAGTTACAGGGAGGATGTCCAAAAAACAGATAAAAATTTAGTTATTAAATTACAGGGAGGATGTCAATAGAAAAGATGAAACTTTCATTTTACAATTACAGGAAGTATGTCACTAGAACAGATGGAACTTCAGTTGTAAAGTTACAGGAAGGATGTCAATAGAACAGATGAAACTTTAGTTATATATTTACAGGAAGAATGTCAATAGAACAGATGAAACTTTAGCTGTATAGTTACAGGAATGACGTCAATGTAATAGATTAAACTTTAGTCATAAAGTTACAGAAAGGATGTCAGTTGAACAGATTAAACTTCAGTTATAAAGTTACATGGAGGATGTCAACAGAACATATCAAATTTTAGTTATAAAATTACAAGGACTAAATCAGTAAAGCATAACAAATTTAAACATGTGTCCACAGATAAAGAGATTGTAGAGTCTACTGACCAAAAACTGACCACTCTTGTCCCAGCCAATTTCATATGAGCTCACCGCCTGTTGGGGATGCACCGAGGCCTGGACCACTTTTCTTAAGATGTCATCAGGTTCAAACCCAGCTGGTAGAGGGGTCAGTTCTTGGGGATCAAATCCTGGGTACAAGTGAAGCTGGCAGGTGCCAGATAGTATTGTAAGGTAAACTAAACAAGTCAACTAGCATTTGAGGTAATTGTAAATTTAGTAACAAAATCGACAACACTTTCTTTTTCTTTCTTAAAAAAAAATGATGGTACCCCAAAAAAAGTGTCTAAAATGTGCTGGTACTCACAACAAAGTGTCTATTACAGAAGTGTGTGGAAAAAAATATGCCTACAACAGATGCTGGTACTGTGTACTATTGCATACGACTAGGAAAAAAGTCATAGTTGTATGTGTGAATATAGATACAATCAGCCAACATTTGTCTTATGTGTTAATTTATGCACAGTTAATCAACATGTGTTGCATGCGTGGACACACACACACACACAATCCTTCACAGCTATGTATAAACAGGGTAGGAACTGATGCAATCTGTTGCGAATAATATATATAGGGACATTTGATTGCTTATTCAAGTTGGCAAGGTATTTGATGTTGATAAGTTTTATATGATAAAATTATTACTCCCTGTGTGGGTTCCAGGGCCCCATATTGGGAGGAGGAGGAGGAGGGTGGGGGGATCCACAGCCTCTTTAACAAGCATGTTGTAGAAGGTGACTTATAAGGGATTTTACCTCAGAACACATCTGCCTGCGTGGTGGGGAACCAACAGTCTACTGATAAGTAAGCCATATATGTCACATTCAAGTTCTGGTAGGAGACCCAAATCCAGAACTAGGCCAACAACCAGAACTTTCTGTTGGAGTTTACAGGCGGTGAACACTAAGAAGAAGAAGAAAACAAAAGAATAATTAACTCTTTCAGGCCCATGAATTTTTACAGACTTGGCCCACATTAATTTCCCTTTACAAAAATGGCAGACAGGTGGGTGTACAAGAAAGGCAATAAAGAATGTAATATACTTCTAATCCCAATTAAAGTATAATTTCTTTTAAAGAGAAATAAATGTACATTTTGAATCTGATGATAAGTATATTTTTAATTTGTTTATAGTTAGTAGGAAAGAAGAATTTAGCCAGTGTTAATTTCACAACAACAACATTTTACAAATTCTTCACTTACCATGATTTTGCAGCCACAAGAGTAGTGAATATCCAAATTTGAGAACAAAACTTCAAAGTTTGTTCAATTTCCTAACAGATTCCAAAGTTATGATAAGTTTCTGGGGCTCTTAGTTCTTACAGAGTGCTTAGCAAAATTCCAGATAAAAAAATGGCAGAAAAATGAGCCATTACATACACACTATTTACTATTTACTTTGTATAGTTATATTCAGACTGTAGCTGTGATGAATTCAATGTAGCTCAGCCATAGTATAATACAATCTCTTTGTTTAGAGCACTTTTCTTTTCTTACACCATAAATACGGTAGCTGAGACATTTTCTATGTAATAAACTCATCAGAATCGCTAGATTTCGAACAGCTAATCGCTCAGCTTTGCTGGCGAAAATTCACTGCCCGAATCACTTTCCGAAAAATCTAAATTTTCATTATCATTATCAGAATTAAAAACATCTGACTGAAACCATTTCAGAGCTTCGGCTGCAGAAAGAGGCATTCTGCGACCTGTACTTGTGGTTGGAACATTGGTATTCATGGCACTCGAAAATGAAGTTTTGAAAATGGACTGTTGAAAAACATTTTGCTGTAAATCATGTCAAATTATGCACATGTGGCTTCTGATAGAGAAAGTAGCTGAAAGGATTTTGGCAGAGTGACTTTTCTTGAATAGTTTAATTGTACTTCAGAACATTAAAAACAAGTACAGAGCCGTGTGCGAAGCAAAATGTACAGGACACACAATCGACGATGACAACGTTGTTTGGGCAAAACGGAACTTCTCAGTCAACACTCACACCATTGCTGGGGCCTTAAAGAGTTCAGGAACAAAGTCAGCAATTAAAGCTAACTCCAACAAGCATAATGACACTAAAGTGGGAAATACTGACTTCAGAAAGAATAATGACAGACTGGTTTATACAATGGATCAACATCATGATCCTGAAATACTTCAGGTAGATTTTCAACTCCAAATGTTGCCAGGGTAGCACCGTTAGGCTACTCTTTTCAATTTCCAACTGCTGGGGGGATTTTTAACATGCGCAACAATACACATGAACTATCTACCCAGAGACCAGGGGAAATTATTAGAAGTCCACATATAATAATAATAAGCCTACGCTGGTGCCTGAACCCGGGACCTCCAGCACTTGAGGTGGACATCATGCCTCGAGATAACCAAGCCCTCTAAAATAATGAGAGGTAAGTAGGAAATACTGATTTCTACAAAAATAATGAATAATAAAGTCGGCCATTAGAAATACTGACCTCAACAAACTTTGGCTTGCCAGCTTCTTCTTTTGAGATGACCTGTAAAAATACATAGAGATGTGTGAGGTTTAGGTGCTCAGTGCTCACTCTCTTTCTTTCTCTCTCTCTTTCTCTCTGTCTCTCCCCCCCCCCCCCTTTTAGTGTGTGTATATGTGTCTGTGTATGTGTGTGTGTGTGTATGCATGCATGCGAGTGTGTGTGTGTGGGGGGGGGGGGAGTGCTGCACTTATGTGAGGTGATGATTTATGTTTGCGTTCATGTATACATATCATGTAGGATGTGTGTCAGTGTGTGTGTGTGGTTGTGTATGCCACGAGCATGTGCACTTGGACAAAGGTGTATGATTAAGTGTATTTTATGAATGAATAGTGTATGTATACATCTGCATGAGGTCACAGTGTGGGTTCTCAGACCCTATTATAGGGAAAATATGAAAAGACCCACTTCTTTCTCAACAATCATGTCATAAGAAAGGACTAATTGGAAGTTTTCCTTTGAAGTCAGAGGACATTTGCCTGAAAGGCAACAAAACAACAGTCAGCATACAAATAAGTCAAATCTGTAAAACAGATGTGCATGCAAAACTTAGGTTCTTGAACAAGTCTAAAGTCTAGAGATGGATGTATAACCAGAACTTATGCCACAGTTTAAAGCTGGTGAGTATAAAGAAGAAGAAGAAGAAGAAGAAGAACTGGTGTGTGAATCTGAGTGTGCTGTCAGATATAGGTGCAATCACTGTTTATGAGTACATGTGCTTTTTTCGTACACAGTGTGTACCTTGCGTGTACTGTGTATATAAACTGACATAAAAAGGGTATTGTGGCTGTTTATAATATATAAATTCTGGTGAAGAAGAAGAAGAAGAAGACTATGAGCAATCACTGTCATCAGTCACTACAGACTCCTGATCTTTCTGCTCAGTGCAACCTGGTCCATGGCATCCTGTTTCCATGATTATTTCTCTATACTTTTGTCATACATGCCCTGTTCGCACACATCTTTACATCCAAGTAGAAACTAGCCCCACAATGTTCTATCTCTCTATGATTCACTCTAGGGTATGTTTTTTGAGACACTCTCATCCTCCACCCTGTATTTATATCCTAGCCATTGAAACTTCCAAGACTGAGAGACTTCCAAGACTGAGAGACTTCCAAGGCTGAAAAACTTCCGAGACTGAGAGACTTCAAGACTCAGAGACTTTCAAGACTGAGAGACTTCCAACACTGAGATACTTCCAAGACTGAGAGACTTCCAACACTGAGAGACTTCCAAGACTGAGAGACTTCCAAGACTGAGAGACTTCCAACACTGAGAGACTTCCAACACTGAGAGACTTCCAAGACTGAGACACTTCCAAGACTGAGAGACTTCCAAGACTGAGAGACTTCCAAGACTGAGAGACTTCCAAGACTGAGAGACTTTCAAGACTGAGAGACTTCGAACACTAAGAGACTTCCAAGACTGAGAGACTTCCAACACTGAGAGACTTCCAAGACTGAGAGACTTTCAAGAATGAGAGACTTCCAACACTGAGAGACTTCCAAGACTGAGAGACTTCCAAGACTGAGAGACTTCCAACACTGAGAGACTTTCAAGACTGAGAGACTTTTAGGACTGAGAGACTTCCAAGACTGAGAGACTTCTAAGACTGAGAGACTTCCAAGACTGAGAGACTTCCAAGACTGAGAGACTTCCAAGACTGAGAGACTTCCAACACTGAGAGACTTCCAAGACTGAGAGACTTCTAATAATGACTTCTTAGACTGAGAGATTTCAAAGACTGGGAGACTTCAAAAACTGAGATACTTAAACACTGAGAGACTTGCAATACTGAGAGACTTCCAACACTGAGAGACTTCCAAGACTGAGAGATTTCCAAGACTGAGAGAAATCCAAGACTGAGAGAAATCCAAGACTGAGAGAAATCCAAGACTGAGAGAAATCCAAGACTGAGAGAAATCCAAGACTGAGAGAAATCCAAGACAGAGCACTGAAATAACCACTAAACACATTCTTGCCATACCTCAATGTCTGGGAACTTGTCTAATCACTTGTCTGTGTAGGAAAAATGTTAACAGACTGACATTCCTGTAGTAATGAGGGCAAAAAGACATATATTGCAAGTATGTCCTATCAGAAACATACAGAAAATATTGAGCTCATGCTCCTGATTAATAATACATGATACGTTCTTGTTCTCTCCCCCACAAATTTACACTAAAAGGACAATGATTCAAAGATACTAAGAACATAAATATAAACTGAATATGTCTAAGAAAGATTTCACAGAACTGATTCCTGGAATGTTTCCTGTCAAAAACTCTAATGCCAGATGTAGGTAGGGTGTTGACAGGTTGCCATTCATGTACTGATTTCAGTAAAAAGACACTTACAGCAAGTCATCAGTATCACACAAGAAGTATGTAACTTACTGCCATTTTGTTTTCCTTTGGAGCAATACTGATCTTGGATATGTTCTTTACTCGGCTGCTCAGATTTGGCAGGAATGCTGGGAATGGCAAGAGAAAGTGGCAAAATATTACGAAATGAAATGATCAAACTGATCAAGTTTATCTGAAACCGTTAGTATTTGTGTGAAAACTGGTGATAAGGTTTTTTTTTATATATATATACAATAGATGTGTGAAATCGCCATGTTGCCTACATTATAGTACCAGATGTTTGAAATATACATGTGGTCTTTTAATAACACAAAACTGCTGCAAGATTTCTATATATTATTTATGGTTATAAATACAGTGCACGCCCCTTACGGTGATCTCAGACATGATGAATTTCTGTTACAAAGAACAATTTCTTTATCCCTGGCTATTTTTCATGCTTGAACTCTTATCTGGATAAAAGGACTTTCTGATAAGAAGAACTATCACTGGCATTCCTGATGAGTTCTTGTCAGGTCTGTATCCAAACTTATGAGGTATTTAAATAGAATTGTCATAGAAATATACTTGTTTACTTCACTTATTTACTGGAGTTGTACTATCTTATCATCAGATTCAACAAGAGATATCTGATTACATAAATGGATTTAAACATAGAAATCGTTATACACTTCATACAGGTCAAAGACTATAATTATTGTTCCTAAAGTGTGATCATCTGGTAACCGTAGAAGAACTTGAGGCCATGCCCTACAACTACCTGTTGATTTATCTCATCTTCAGTCCACCATCTGCCCTGAAGATGTTATCCTGGTTGGTGGGGGAACTAAACAGATATTTCACTGCACTGAAATGTGTCCCATGTACTAGTGAGGGGAAGAAGGTACCTGATTTTTTTGGTAAAGGGTAGCTTTACTTTGCCTGCTGCAATAATTAATTTACTTTGAACAAAGAAAACACAAACAATAGATTGCACAATGCATTGCCTGGCGTGTCTCGTCAGGTGCATACTACAGTAACAATTGAATTAAATAAATCAAATATGTGAATCCTTTACAACTGAAGTACAAATTCAACCATTCATAAAAGCAACTGCCTGTTTTATAAGGGCAAGAGCCGGTTCACTATAATTTTTTTCTGTCTATGTTGTTAGGGATGAAGGAAATAAATAGTGGCAGCTTCAAGAAATTTGAGTACTGTGCCATTGGACAACATATAAAGAATTAATATGTGCTGTCTTTGTTTACAGCATATCCAGGTAAAACAGACAGTTGCTTTTCGACTTGACTTTCTACCCCACCAGGACATCACACAAGCGATAAACACCCGATGACACAAAGTGCCACCATGCGGATGAGGATCACCGTAGAGAGGTCCCAGAAACCGTGTTCAGACAATTGGCCATATTGATGGCCTGCCTATATTGCGGCCCCTGGCAAAAGCCAGAGTGGGGCTTCAAATAACAAAAAATTACGTCCTGAAAAGGACGTAACGAAGTGAACGAGTTGCTTTTCAGTGTAGCTGGCTTTATACTTCAGTTGTAAATGATTCACTGATTTGTCTCACATTTAATTGTTACTACAGTATGCACCTGATGAGATACAATGAGAAAAAATGCCAGGCAATAAATTACGCAATCTGTTGTTTGTATCTTCTTTGTTCAAATTTATAATTGGAAAACATAGCTTTGAATTAATGTTACGTTTAAAGAAGAAGCCAGATCACATAACTGTGTTCTGCAACAACATACTTGACTTTAATGTATAGACTCCAGCAAACTGACACACTTCTTTCTTGTCCTTTTCTGGAAAAACACAACATGATAACAGTCAAAATGAAATTCAAGGAAACTCCTTGCATGTGCTGATTTCAAGGCTGAACATGATAAACCGTGAATATCTTCAGACTTGGTGCAGTTGACACAAACATACAAAGAAACAAAGAAACCAAGACTCACTCCATATTGTGTAGCAAGGACAAGTAAACTGACAGTTGAACAAACTATGTTTGAAATTATAGTCAAGTGCCCAGTTTAAATGTGTCCATGAAATGACTCTTTCAATATTAGGTAATGCAGGAAATTGGATATGCTATGTAAGATGGTCATGTTAGTGATGTGTGATATGTCATGTAAGATGTGTCATAAGTAATGATGTGTGATACATCATGTAGGATGTGTCCTATGCATGATATGTCACATGAAATGTGTCACATGTGTGATATGTCATGTAGGATGTGTCATATGTGTGATACGTTATATATCATGTAGAAGGGCTTTTTTATGGCAGTAGACAATAGTACACAGTGCCCCCACTATAATTTTTTTAGCTTAATTTTTTAACAACCATTGTAACAGACACTTAATGGTAAGTATCAGCACCATTTATTTATACATTTTGTGGTGAGTACCAACAGCTTTTGTTGTCTCGGGATGTCTGATGAAGTGTTTTTCCCTCCCTAGCTGAAGTTTTACAGTGTTATTTATATTGCTAAAGTAACTGATTTTTTAAACATAACCAGGATAAAGTGAAACAAAATGTCAATGAAAGTTCATCCGCATCATCTCCCACATTTACCATCAAGTGTCATGAGAAGGGGCAGCTGGTTCTCCAGTGTTTGATGAGTGGCACTGGCTTTTGTAATTCTTTGTTACTATACAATTACTTTAATGTCATCAATCTTTGTTATCATTGGGTGTCCTCTTACTCTTGCATCAGATCTTCTGAAATATAGCCCTTTGCTGGCAACTAACTGATTATGCTGCATGTCCAAAACCATTTCATCTTCTGCTTCATGATGCATTCAACACAAGTGTTCCCATAGTCTTTGTCTCTGATGGCTACCTGATGCATTTCCTCTGGCCTGATACAAAGACCTGTCCATCTAGTGACCTGCTGTCATGAACAATGGAAATGTGGATCCAAATACAGGCCTCCTGCACTGCAGAGTGAGTGAGTGAAAAGAACATATGTTATTATACTGTAGATTTGGTAAGTGAATGGTAGAAAGCTACTATACTGTAGAGTGGGTGAGTGAATGGCACATAAGTAACTATACTGTAGAGGGGTGAGTGAATGGCACACAAGTTACTATACTGTAGAGGGGTGAGTGAATGGCACATAAGCTACTATACTGTAGAGTGGGTGAGTGAATGGCACATAATTACTATACTGTAGAGGGGTGAGTAAATGGCACATACGCTACTATACTGTAGAGGGGTGAGTGAATGGCACATAAGTTACTATACTGTAGAGTGGGTGAGTGAATGGCACATAATTACTATACTGTAGAGGGGTGAGTGAATGGCACATACGCTACTATACTGTAGAGGGGTGAGTGAATGGCACATAAGTTACTATACTGTAGAGTGGGTGAGTGAATGGAACAAAAGTTACCACACTGTAAAGTGGGTGAGTGAATGGCACATAAGTTACTCTACTGCATGGCAACAACAACTGCTCCCCGATGACATGCATTCCAGCAAGAAACTGCCTCGTTTTGGTCATAACAAGATGACCAAAATGTCAAACACCGACCTCTTTTGTCAAACAGGTCTCTTTCCTTGGAACTACTAAAGGTTGACTGGACATCATCCACTTGAGAGGCTCGACTTTCACACACCAGTTGAGCATAATTCTGAAGCTTCTGGTCTAGCTGGCTGATTCTCATGTTCACTTCCTCAATAGAACCAATTAGAAAAGCTAAAACAAGTTCAGGAGTTGCTGACAAATATGGTCAGCCAATCAAGTCACCGGTTTGCAAAAGACAAACGTGTACAATTCTTGATATAACCAGTCAGTCAAACATGGGTAGTAAATAAACGCAACTGACTGAGAAACAACAAACAAAAGACACAAATAAACTGCAAGTTTTGAACATCACTCACTCCCTACCCCCCCCCCCCCCCCCTTTTTTTTTCCCTCCCCAATCCTCCAGCAAACATAACAAAGGACAGGAAACATGGCTGTCGTTCAGCACATAGAAATATTACAATCCATAAATAGTCACTGGAACATCAACTCAACAAACAAGTCAAAGCAACAATTGTCCAAAATTATAAACAAGAAGGAATAAAATGAAAATGATAATGTTGAAAATGTACAGAAGTAAGGCTAAAATAAATTACATATTCAGGTTTATACAACATATAGACACACATGTAGCTGTATGTACAGCTGCACGCCCATATGCATGTAGTATATCTTTAATTGTGTTCCCACATAGACAGGGTATACACATCAAGCTCCATTTCAAAACGCCTAGCAGCACTTAGTGGGTGCTGTGGTCAGTCTCATACCGCCTGCCTTTGCTTACCAGAAAGTTTCCTGCTAGCTATGTTAAGCTACATTTTTTCTTCTTAGTGTTCACTGGCTGTAAAACTCTAAAATGAAAAGTTTTGGTAGCTCATCTATTTCTAGGCTGATCTTGTTTCAGAACTTGAGTTTTGCATGCACATCTCTTTTATTCAACTGGCTTATTTGTATGCAGACTGTTTGTTCACTACCTCTTAAGCAGATGCAGTCTGATTTCAAAGAAAACATCCCCAATTAGTCCCCTTTTTACAGAGTCAGTGGGTCTGTTCCCCCCCCCCCCCCCCCTTTTCCCCCAGAATGATATCTGATCTAGACCAGACACATGCAGATCCGCTCAGTGGACTTATGTGATAGAAAGCAACTCTCTGGCACTGGAACATTGAACAATGTACTCTCCAGCACTGAAACAAATAACAGTGCACACATGAGCAGAAGATCAGTGTCATGGCAGAGTGAATACAAACTAGTGCAAATGTAACATTTGCTAGAATACAGATCATGAAAGACAGATCAAGGATACGTGATTTTGTCCGCTGCTTATCTCGAAGAAATTGTTTTCTGGATTTGATTTTGTCTGGAGGTTCACTGAGTCCCTCGTCCAATAGGTCCATGGGAGAACCAATTCTGTTTATGTTTGCCATGTCTATTCTCTGTGCATACACAGTTATATAATTATATATTTGTTAACATTTATGATGTTGCACATGTTTATTACATGAAACTTAACTATATTAGTAAGACTACTAGAGTGTATGAAGTTGGCAAAACAGATAAGGAAATTAACATTTGATGCAGTGAGGATAACTAAGTAAGGGACAGCTTGCAACCTCCACAACACATCCCCCCCCCCCCCCCCCCCCCCAACCCCGTGCCCAACTACTTAAAACAATGCACAGTACAGAGCAGCATAGGGAAACATCTTATAGAAAGCACACTGATTCTGCATGAAAAAAAGAAAAGGTTCTGGTACTGCATACTACCAGAGAAAGGTAGCTCAGGTGATGATCCCCAGGGATCTCCATAAAAATTGCACTAGTGAACTGAAGGGCGCAGCGTGGAACAAACCCACAACCTATGAATCATGAGGCAAACGGCTTGACCACTTCTCCATGCAGAAATAAAGGCAATGAATACTAGTACTATTGTATATGTGATGTGCTGATGTTTGTCTACACGGTTTTAACATATCATATATGTGATTTTGAATCAGGAGATGAATTAAGGTGTCACCACCCTTAGAACTGAGCAGCACAAGAGAGCGCACACAATGAAAGCACACTGGATCACCAAACCCCAAATAAGTGCTGGTGCTTTACCATTAAGGGCCAATTTTTTTTTTTTTTTTTTTTGTTGCAGACTTTAAAGAACCTGGTGTTGATATCAGATCTTCCTACTGCTGTAAACACTAGACAAGAGGCATAAAGCCATGAAGAATAAATGTCCTAGCATGCTTTCTATAAGTGTTCTTCTTCTCCTTTGTGTTTGGTTTCCTAGGCTCAGATCAGACCATCACGTGGGTTGCCTCTATGAACTAACATGTTGGCAGCAGGTCCTTCCTGGTTCCCCATAGCTTACTCTGCACACTTCGCTCTTGAGGCCAGTTGTCTTTTCGAAGTTGTAGGTAGAGTTGGCAGGTCTGCAGAATGTGCTCAGTTGTTTGTAGTCCTGTTTGACAGGCACACTGTGAGGACTGTACAGTCTTCATTTTATGCATCCTGTAGTTGAGCTTGCAGTGTCCTGTTCGTAAATGGAATATTGTTGTAGGTTGTTTTCTGTTGAGTCTGCTGATGGGTTCTTGTGGATGTTTACTGTTGGTTTGCTCTCTCCACAATTCCTTGTATTTTCCCTTCTCGTGGTGTGATTTTATTATAATGCTTGACGGCATATGGCAATAAATTGCCCAGAAAGCGTTAGCCTGGAAAAAGTGATAAATGTTGCAGAATCAAGCCTACAGTCCTGATTTTTCACCTCGTAATTGTTTTGACTTCTAAATACAGTGTATTATACAGCTCTCAAGGGGCTATGATTTCACACAGATACAGGTGAGGTGAAATGAATGCGGTGAACCATGTTTCGGTAAGCAACCAAGAGCGGTTTTTTTTTTTTTTTGGTGCAGATGGCATGTGTAGCCTACCTATGCAATAGGATGGTGCACAATTAATTCAAATGGCGACATTTTTTTTCATTCTGTGTGTGTGTGTGTAATAAAGCAATTGGAACGGGTTTCAAACGAAAGCTCCTTATATTATAGTGCATTGACTATGGTAGATAGAAACAGAAGCCTACATCATGTCACTTGTGTAATATTTTATGTTATTAATTACTGACTTGCAAAGTGCCAGGAATTTACTTTCTCCCGGCAACAGCCGCCATTACTGTTGTCGTATGGCAACCACAAGCAGAGCTATGACTGCCGTGTTTTTGCACGAAACTCCTACACGGAAAGAACGCATGAGAGAATCCCGAAGTGGTCTGCGAAATACACGTGGAATGGATTTTCGTTGAGGTTAAACTGGTAATCTATTTTTTTTTTAAATTTTAATTAGAGGGTAAGACGACAAGGGGAACATATTCACAGAAAGAACCGGCATTTGTGGCCGCTTAACGAAAAAAGAAATGTACATACTGTTAAGCTTTAACTCACAGAAAACGTTAACGGTGGCAAGGCTGGCTATGAATTCAGTTACTTTCTGGCAGGCTTGACGACAAAGACGTTCTAAAGAGGACTTGGACATAAAATTTAATGCGTGTAGATTACGAACACTGGAGACGTATAATCGTGCCCACCAGCTGACATGTCTTGGGGTACAACACCATCAACGGTAGCGTCATGTATGACTACAGTCAACAAATCTGGGTACATGAACCTGCTCATAGATAATAAACATGAAGTATACAACACAAGTGATGGTGTTTTTGATGTTGATAAATATCAAGATTAAATAAAACCACTTGTCACGGAAGATAAACCCATATGTATATGTTTTAACATTATTATTATTGGTTATTTCCCTTCAAAAGCTAAAAAAAATATATCTGCTACAGCTGATAGTGATTGTTTAGCGCAAGCAGACGCTCACTCTCCATCATGTGGGATACGAAGATTAGGTAATCGTTTGCTTGTTTACAGCCGATGTCAGCACCAGGACAAGAAACTTGATTGTTTTGAATACACGTGTGGGTATGTGCAAGGCCGTCTCTAGAGACGGTTTTGGTATAAGTGTGTCTGTGCTTGTGCGTGAGAGACTGGGAGGAGAGAGAGAGAGAGAGAAAGAGAGAGAGAGAGAGAGAGAGAGATCGGGCACTACATGCTCAATTTCTGTATTAGTACCTTGCCAGAGGTTCAGTTAACTAGAAATGACCAAATCCTACCCCTTTCCCTAAACCTTTTTTTTTAAATCCCTTCCCCGTGCACCTTAAACTGCACGAGGAATGAATTCAATGATCTGCACTTATAGAAGGGACTGAAGGAAACAGGTTAGTAGACACGCAAAAATAAACATCCTAACCTCACAGCTGTTGCTGACTGCACTAGTCAGAAGGCTTTTAAATACACAGGTCCATTAATACTCTCGAAAAACTAAAGTGGTAAGGGAATTTAAGGCATAAGAAGAATTCGAACAGAAAAACTCCCCCATCCGTCAAGCAATCCCTGAACAGCCCATTAGCGCCCTTCTGTACAGCTCTTTAAGTTCACAACATCAATCTACCAGTTCCAACCGTCACACTTTCCAGCAGCACGGAGGAAGCAGCAGTTACCACAACCTCCTTGTTCTCCCTCCCCTGTCCCGTCAGACAAAGGCTGTTGCCTCCACCTCCCTGCCCGACCAGAGCACGCTGTTGAGTGCACCTCCCCGACAAAGCCGGCTGACATGTTCGACAAACACATTAGCTCGCTCCTCAATGCCAAACGACAGATTTCCCGACCGACATCGATCTGTCGGCGAGCACTTATGTTTGTATCCCGGTTTAGAATGCATTATGTTGACCTTCACATGTTGCAGAAACATGCAATCATACACACTTAAGAGCACACATATAACCAAAGCACACTGGAATGGTACATGTATTCTCAGATACAGAATAACAGGGCTTAATGCTCACTGTATAGGGTGGTCCATCTAGGATTCTTCTTCTCGTTCGCCGGCTGCTAACTCCGGAGCAATGTTCTGGGTGTTCGTCCAGTTCTAGACTTAAGTCTTCTTGCAGAGCTTGAGTTTTGCATTAGCTCAAGTTACACAGAGAGGTATTAGGATACGACAGCCGAGACAAGTGAAGACACGACAGCCGAGACAAGTGAAGACACGACAGCCGAGACAAGTGAAGACACGACAGCCGAGACAAGTGAAGACACGACAGCTGAGACAAGTGAAGACACGGCAGCAGCGACGAGAGAAGACACGACAGCCGAGACATGTGAAAACACGACAGCCGAGACAAGTGAAGACACGACAGCCGAGACAAGTGAAGACACTGCAGCAGCGACGATAGAAGGCACGGCAGCCGAGACAAGTGAAGACATGGCAGCAGCGACGAGAGAAGACACGACAGCCGAAACAAGTGAAGACACGGCAGCAGCGACGAGAGAAGACACGACAGCCGAGACAAGTGAAGACACGGCAGCCGAGACAAGTGAAGACACAGCAGCAGCGACGAGAGAAGACACGACAGCCGAGACAAGTGAAGACATGGCAGTGGCGACGAGAGAAGACACGACAGCCGAGACAAGTGAAGACACGACAGCAGCGACGAGTGAAGACACGGCAGCAGCGACGAGTGAAGAGACGACAGCCGAGACAAGTGAAGACACAGCAGCAGCGACGAGAGAAGACACGGCAGCAGCGACGAGTGAAGAGACGACAGCCGAGACAAGTGAAGACACAGCAGCAGCGACGAGAGAAGACACGGCAGCAGCGACGAGTGAAGAGACGACAGCCGAGACAAGTGAAGACAACAGCAGCGACGAGAGAAGACAAGGCAGCAGCAACGAGAGAAGACACGACAGCCGAGACAAGTGAAGACACGACAGACGTGAAGAAACGAACAACAGACACGAAGAGAAAACACGACAGCAGACACGAGACAAGAACAGAAGCACGACAGCAGACACGAGAAAGGCACAGCAGCAGACATGCGAGAGGACACGCAAGCAAAAACGAGAAAGGCACGACAGCAGAGAGGAGCGAAGACACGTCGGCAGTCACGAGAAAGACACGGCAGTAGAGGCGAGAGAAGACAAGGAAACAGACCCGAGAAAGACACGGCAGAAGACACGAGAAAGACAAGGCATCTAGCACGACAGAAGACACAGCAGCAGACACGAGAAAGACACGGCAGAAGACAAGGCTGCATACATAAGAAAGACACAGCAGTCGATACGAAAGAAGACACGGCTGCAAGCACGAAAAAAGCCACGACAGCAGACACGAGAGAAGACACAGTTACAGATACGAGAGAAGACACAGCAGCAGACACGAGAGAAGACACAAGAAAGACACAGCTACAGACACGAGAGAAGACACAGCTACAGACACGAGAGAAGACACACCTGCAGACACGAGGAAGTCACGGCTACAGACACGGGAGAAGACACATTACAGACACGAGTGAAGACACGGCAACAGACAGGAGGGAAGACATG